GCGATAAACATGGGTATACATATATCTACTTAGATGTCATTTATGGTCTCTTTAGGGTATATTCCCAGTAGTGGAACTGCTGGGTCAAATGGTATCTTTATTTGCAACTTTTTGAGAAAGCGCCACAATGCTTTCCACAGTGGTTGCACCATTTTACACTTACAACCTATTTTTTATCTGCAACATCCAGAAAAAAACCAACTCTTACTGGGGGCTGAAAATGAGGTGACATCCCTCAGCAAGAGGCCTGGGTCCCTTCAACAGCTTGCTCCAATCCTGTGGCCTTGATCAGCTCTGGCTGTGAGGTGGGAGGCAGCTCACGGCCTCAAGACACATTGATGGCTTTTCTGGGGTGAGCCAGCAGCCCCCAACCCCCGACTTTCTGGGCACAGCAGGCCCTTCCTCAGCTGTGTGAGATACAAGTACAAAGGGGAAGACACGCTAACAATCTGACAGGGAGGGATCTGCAAGCACTGGGCTGTAACAAGAAGCAGCAAAAGGGACGTGAAGCTACCACAGAGGTGCTTCTGGGCTAGAGAGGGAAAAAAATCTCCAATTTTTGTAACATCTTCTATTACAACTACTGCTTCCTAAAAACAGCTGCTGCCTATAAAGGTTCACTTAGGATATGCACCACTGACTTGGAACTGACTGCTGTAAATTGAAGCTGGAATGTAACTTGCTGTAAATCACATGGTATGTCCATCTTTCTCCTGGGGAGCAGCTGGTGGATGTGAATCACGTGTCTTTGGACTGGCAGCACAACTCTTTACCCAGAAGGCCACTAGAGTACTCTCTATCTGGAAAGGTTCTCATCAACTCCAAATTAAATAAACAGGTAACCATTTTATTTTCCAATACTTGAATGGATTTAAACTCACGGATTCATTCTGAATTCAGTTTTGAGAACTGGGTTGAGGCTCCTTTTCAAGGTGGATAATGCATTCTTCATTCTTTACTGATATACGTGCATGAAGCTTATGCCTCATTTATCAACCATCTCATTACTTAACACTTTACTTTTATGATCGATTTAGGACTGAGGCATTCTATGCATTTACGACATACATCTGATAGTAACAAAGGCTGAGGTGCAAGGATTGCTGGCTGTGACGTTTAGGTTGCGTATCAGCTTGGCTGGGCCATGATTTTATGTGGTTTGGAATTTCTGAAAACGATTTATTCTCCATTTACATGATGCCGATTTTGACACTACTGGGAATATACCCTGAAGAGACCATAGCTGACATCCAAGCAGATATATGCACACCCATGTTTATTGCAGCTTTGTTTACAATAGCAAGGAGTTGGAAACAACCTAAGTGCCCATCAACAAACGAATGGCTCGAGAAGCTGTGGTATATTCGCACAATGGAATACTATGCTGCATTGAAAAACAAGGAACTCATGCAATATTATTCAAAATGGTCGACTCTGGAGAACATTATGCTGAATGAAATATCCCAGTCACAAAAGGACAAATATTACATGATGCCACTGTTGTAGAATGGGACTGTCCTTGGGGTTGGGGAGAGACTGAGTAAGATGGGTTCAATAATGTATACTGCACTGAAACAGAGGAGGGAGAAAACTGTTTAAAAGAGATATATGACTAGGTATTTCTGTCATCACGGAGTCTAGAGCGAGGGCTGCATGGTGGAGGGGACCTGGGGGAGGGTTTGTAAAACAATGAAAGAATCTTTTCTTTTACTTTTCCATAATTTTTGACTCATGTACTTATAACTTGTTAGTCAAATTTGTGTCTTCTAGGTTGCAACACCCCCATGATACATCTTCAAGGATATGAACATGTACGGCCAAGCACAATCAATAAGAGTGCATCTAAATTCCAAAATCAATCTCCATAATAGTCTATGTGTTTCCTACTGCCAAAGGGGCCCTTTAGAGTAGTGAGAGAAGATCTTCACCCTGAAACCCACAGCGTCCCTTTTCAGCAGGAAGTAGCTAAGAGAATACGCCGTCCCCTTTTCCTTATGACTCAGGGTGAAGTCTCTCTCAGGGAGGAGTGATAGGGAATGGCAAGGGACACACTGACAAAGGAGATTAATCAGAACTGGCTTTGACAAGCACTGTGGCAATTGGACAATTAAAACAGACATTCGGATGGCGGGGAAAGAAGAACAAACTGGGGAGGAGGGTAGAGAGAATGGTGCAGCAATGAAGGAATGAAAACCCAAAGTCTCTGTAAATGTTCATTAAAACTAATAAAATTTAATAATAATAATAAAAGAATAAAATTAACGTAAAAAAACAAAACAAAAAAACCAGATGTGGTTCTGTGGTGTTTAACACACAGATACGTGTACACTTTCCCACGGCCTCGTCCAGGACAGAGGCAGCTGCACAGCCAAGCTACCTAGTTTGATGAGATGCAGGAGTTGCTCCGACGGCGCGCACACGGACTGGGGCTTGATCTCGTTGATGAGGCCGTTGGCGATGCTGATGTAACCGTCATACAGCAGCTGACTGATGATGAGCTTGTAGAGTTGCTGGCGGTCCTTCAGGCCCACTTTGGTTCTGTACATCTTGAGGAGGAAGAGGGTTCCCCTGCCAGCTGCAAGAAGAAAACACAGGTGGCCGGTGAGGGGCACAGGCACAAGCCAATCACAGCTACAACGCAGGCCTCTGGGATCAGAGGCGTCCCTTCTGCCTCACAGCAACCCTGGAGGGCAGACCAGAGCTCCCCTGTCAGGCTGCCAGGCTGTAATGCTGACAGCTGACCCTCCGGTGGGTGTTCAGAGGCAGCAAATCTAAAGGGAGGAAACGTCCACCTTTATCTTGCTGGTGGATCTGAACCCTGTACCTTTGTGTTGGCAGTGCAATTCCTAGGCCACTGGAGTTCCTTGTGATCTTTACAGAAGACTACAATGCTCTGGTGGTGTAGCCTGTAGAGGGCTGTACTGCAAACACAAAGGCAGTGCCTCTCCAACGATCTGAAACTATCAGCGGCTGAGAGAGAGAGAGAGACAATCTCCTGTGTAACACAGACTCTTCAAACACCCACTGGAGGGTCAGCTCTAAGTCAGTTCCTACTTGTCAGCTGCGGGAATGAGACTCTTTCGAGCAGCTCATCGACACATTCTGTAGTCTGGCCCACAGCTCCTCCGCTTGACCCTGCCCTGTTTACAACGCATCGCTGTTGGTGCCCTGAGCCAAGGCTGATTCACAGTGACCCCACGTGGCCGAGCAGTGCCACCCCACCGGTCATGTGACTGTGATCTTTGTGGGAAGCCGGACGGGTCTCTTCATCTGCAAAGATGCTGGTGGGTCTGCACAGTTAACACTTTGCTTTACATCTGAGCACTTAACCACTGTGCCCTAGCTCAACCCTGCGTGTGCCAATGCAGCCTGACTCCAGCGACCCCAGGGGGCAAAGCAGAACTGCATAACCCCATTCATATTATATATATACACATTAATTTATTAATCTTACATATCCCTATGTTTAATCGAGTCTGTCAGATACTCCTCTAAATCTGAACATTCAGATTAAGACAGACCAGGAAGAAGGATTGGCCACCCACTTCTGAAATAGCAGGCCTCTGAAAACCCTATGCACAACAGAACACACGCAGATTAACAAAA